GGGGGAGGTGGGCCCCTCGTGGAAAGGTGGCATCTGAGAGACACCTGCATGTGCCAAGAGAGTCAGCCATGGAGACAGGCAGGGACCCTCCCGACGGCCCAGCGTGTGCAGGGTCACTAGAAGGCAGGCAGGCTGGACGGCAGTGGGCAAGGGTGTGAAGAGGAGATGAGACCCAGACAAACTTGGACCACCTGTCTAAGTGAAGGGAGAGACTTAGGAGGGCTGTGAGGATGTTCTCGTGGGACTGCTGTACGCTGTATCAAGGCTGTCCAGTGAAGGGACTGGGGGGCAGTACCAAGGGGTCCTGCCAGTCTCTTGCAGTGACCCAGGCAGGAATGGAGAGATGCTCTGGTCACGGGGGCACAGAGGTTGGTCAGGTTGTGAGGAGGTCAAGCCAGTAGAGTTTCTGAACAGAGAAAAAAGGGGGTCAGGCATGACTGTGGTTTCCTGCCTGAGCAACTCGAAGCATCAGCTGAAATGGGGAAGGCTGAAGGCAGGATGATGAGCAGTGCAAGGTGAGTGAAGCAGACAAAGATTTCACTTTGAGCATGCTGCACTCCAAAAGTCTTACTTCACTCCATGTGGAAATGTTACATGGGCAGGTGGATATCTGAGTCTTTAGTGTGCGAGAAGTTTGGACTAGAAATCAAATGGGGACATTGCTGGCATCAAAATGGTGCTACCGTCTCAGGTCAGAAGTGAGCACAGAGGATGGAGAAGGCACGCCCTGGACCGCCAGGGGTGACGGGTCACAGAGAGACCAGAGGGAAGAGCAGAAACCAGTGCAGGCAGCCTCCCAAATTCATGAAACTCGGCTGCTTCCAAACAGGAAAGGACCTGCCTCATTTATCTGACTACCTACCTGAAAATCCTGTGATGTGTCTTAAGAAAATATCTTAAGAACCACACTGGGTAGCGTCGCTCCCTAGATAGTCACATATTTGCCCTTATCCTTATTAAGGAGAGGGCTAATATCTTCATAGAAGAGGGTCTCCCAGGGTAACCTGCCAATTCTTACATAGCAAGAATTCTATAGTTTTTTTCTTTTTTTGAGCCAGAGTCTTGCTCTGTCCCCCAGGCTGGAGTGCAGTGGTGCAATCTCTGGTCACTGCAACCTCCACCTCCTGGGTTCAAGCAAGTCTCACGCCTCAGTCTCCTGAGTAGCTGGGATTACAGGTGCCTGCCACTGTGCCCAGCTAATTTTTGTATTTTGAGTAGAGACGAGGTTTCGCCATGTTGGTCAGGTCTTGAACTCCTGACCTCAGGTGATTCACCTGCCTCGGCCTCCCAAAGTGCTGGGATTACAGGCATGAACCACCGTGCCCAGCCAAGAATTTTATAAATAATGAGGTAATAATATTTACTGGGGAACTGCGCTAAGAAATGCTCAGAAACATGTGGTTAAGATCAATATTAATATTCAAAATTATCTTTTAAAGAAAGAAACCCTCTGAATTATTTCTATGGAACAAAAACCTTATTGCAAGCATTATTTTACTGTTCATGTGTCATAGGATTCTTCATAGTATAAGAAATTCTCTTTGGGCCTGTAGAGCTGGCTGGTATCTTCAATGCCTCAGGTCAGCACTTGCTCAATGCTGAGCAAGTATTTGCTGAATGAATATCTCACACTAAGGTGACTCTGATTAGTATCTTCCAGCTATACCTATGTACACCAAAACACACAAAGAAGTAGGGAGAAAAATGTATACTTTTAAAATCTTTGTTTCATGTAAGAAAAAAAAAAAAAGCAAAGCTCAGAAAATATGCCTTCCAATCACCAAGGAGGGGAGGTGTTTTTAAGAAAGGTTCCTCTCTAAGGCATTATTGCCACTGTGCTAAACTGAGAGGGGAAAAGGAAAAGGGGACTATTATTTGGCGAAAAGGCCATTAAAGTCAAACCTTGATTCATGGGTTTTAAATGTACTGTCTGATATTGGCTTTTGTCTTTAGAAGTTGACTAGAATTTGTCTTCAAGTTTATATAAATATATCAGAGTCTAATTGTCTAGCAGGTGATAAAAACACCACACACAAGCATAATTTGCCCTAAATGATGTGCCAAACTTCCCCAACACGACAATAAACACTCTGAATTTACAACAGACCATGACCTCAAATATTTCTCAGCAGACTGATAAATTGGCATGGCTGATAAACTGAATTAAAATCCACGTTATATTATTAAAGAAAACACAGAATACATACATGTTCACTGGAAATCTCTTACTCTACCAATAGACAGTTATATCTTAACTGGCTAATAACGTCAATACCCTTTCAACTGAGTTTATAACAATTGAAGGTTTAAAATCTATGTCTAATGTAAAAAAAATGAAATAGATTACTCATTGCAAAATTTATTTCATTTGCTCATGTATTTATGACTACATAAGAATACACGGAATCAATTTATGACTGAAACTGAGAAAAGGTCAAAACCATAAACAAACAGTAACACTTAAAATTAACGGAGAAAAGCAAAGAATAACTAAATCTAGGAACATTCAAAGGCATGCTTCTAAAGTGTCAGGGACTCCATCTCCTGATGGAGGACACCCCTAAGGAGAACCGGATCTACTGAAAACATAAAACAGCCACCACTGAAAGAAAAGAAAATCAAGACAGGAAAAAAGCACCAAAGGGAAAGAAACAAGAACATACCAAATCTAGAACAGAGATTGCTGGCATAGCAGTCTGCTGCAGGTAACAGAGAAAGAAAAAAAAAAGAAAGATGAAGTGTGGAAAAAAAAGTTAGGTTTAGACCTGTAATCTGCCATCGGCATATTTTCTCACTATCATGCGTCATCTGTGTTTCAACAACTTGATGAGAAAGGTAAAGAACTGCACACTAACTTCTGTATTCAGAAACAGAAAAATGCCCACATGGTATTAAATGAGTTTCATCATTAAGATACATAGAAAATAAAAAACAGCAAAATTTCCCTTAACTTTCTTATTTGGAGACTAAGATACTAATTGTAACAGAACTACTAAGCAAAAAACAAATATTTTTTACTAAATTTTCATGAGAAACTTTCCAAATATCACAATTCATACTAAAAGGCTTTGAAATATTCAGTGTTTTAACCCATTTGGAAAAGCTCTGAGACCTTTCAATAAAAGTTGAGTCCTCACAGAAAAGGACACTTCCAGAAATACTACAAGGCTAACTGTTCATTACTGTCAGGACACAGTTATAACAATAAGAAATGCTAACACTGTTGACTCATTTTGCCATACACAACAGTTGTATATTCAGAGTTGAAAATGCAGTGAAGGAAAAGACATCCTTTCATCTTTTGGGGTGTGGGCAACACAAGGCCGTGCACGTCCTTAGGTTACTAATGAATCCATCTGAGTGCACCCACGAGTGACACTGGCCAGAGCAGAGGAGCATGCACCTGACACCAGCAGGCCCAGGACCTTCCAGAGAGCTTCGACGGGGAGGGGCAATCACTCCAAGAATCCTGAACAGGAAATGCATAGTACTTTTAAAGTACCGTATTTTTAAAGCTACTTTTAAAGTAAAATAGCTATTAATTTAAGTGTTGGTTTTTCAAATAAAACAGCGCTTACAGTAAACACAGCTACTCATCAGGAAGTTTACTACTGATGACTTGAGAAATACTAATAAAAATAGTAGTAAAACAATGTAAGAATTCACACTTTGGCCTCATTTAAGAAACTTAAGTGTCTAAGGGGATTCAAGCTGAATTCTGGGCAAAGTTTTATATATATACACACATTTTGGCTGAGATATGTATATATTAAGAAGTATGTGTGAGAGAGACTTTTCAGGAAAAATTCACAGAGCAAATCGAAAAAGAATCACACTACTGGGCTCTAAGGATCTAAGGACTCACAAATTATTATCTAAGGTTAAATTTCATTGTGAGATAGAAAGATTAAAATGTCTGACCTAATAGCCCCTGGTAGAGCTTTACCATAAACTGCATAAAAACCAGTTGAAATTAGAAACAGAATCCAGAAAATAAAAAGAACATGGCTCTGGATAGCTTTTCTCAGAATATTGCACACACACTGTTTAAAAAAGAAAAAAGTCACTAAAACTCATGAACACAAAATGCTCAATAGCATTCTCTATAAATTAATATTAATAAATGCCCAAATTGATAGCAGTAAATGCCTCTTACCAGTTCTCTTTATAGAGTAACAAGGTATTGCTTTTATCTAAAATTTTTGCAAAACAATTTATTGTGTTAAATGAATTTAAATTTTACTTTTGTGAATTTATTTAAAACAAAACTCATTTTCATACTATAGAGAAATAAGAATAAAATCAGTTCTCAATAGCTTTCTGCTACAATTGGAATATAATTGTTTATTACCTTAACAAATGCTTGCTTCATCAACAGTACAACTACTGTGAAGATTCTTTTTGGTAATGACTATAACTGTAATGATCTGAACACTTTCATTTGTTAACCACCACAAAATGCTGACAAGACCAGGGGCCAGTGATTGGCCCTATGTTTCTGTAAATAAAGTTTTATTGGCACAGAGACACACCCATGTGTTTACTTGTGTCTGTGGCTGCTTTCCTGCTACAACAGCAGAGCTGGGGGTTGCCAGAGTCCACATGGCCTGCAAAGCTTAAAGTATCAATCTGGCCCTGGAAGAAAAATTTTGCCTACCCCCAATCAAGATTATTACTGGTCATTAACAAATACTTGTTTTCTCAACTGGAAGTGTTAAGGAAAAGGATAATTATGAGTTTGCTAATGAAAACAATCAAGTTCCATTTGAATTGTATTTAATACTTGTCAAAGCACGTCTCAAAAAATTTAGCCTTATAGCCCTGACTCATTTCTCTACAACATCAGCCAAGAGAAACACATAGAATAAAATAGTATAAGCCTAGGGGCCCTTTTAATCCTTATCATCATTGGGGGGGGTGTCTAGCTATCCCCATGGGAAACACGTAGAAGGTGAAATAGGGACCACAGATGGGCACAGCCAAAGCCCTCTCCCCTTTACCCTCGCTCTTCGTTCAGCCTCCAGGCGCTGCATGATGAGCATGGTGTCCACATCGTCATCCTCCTCCTCCTCGTCATCTTCGTCCTTCTGCTTCGACTCCTGTAGTCTCTTCTGGAACTGCCACTCCAGCATGAGCTTGCGCAGCCGGTCGCTCTCCTCGGCGCTGCGGTCCGGTTTGCTCTGGAGCTCCTGGATCTCCTTGCTCAGCATGTCCACGATGTGCATCTGCTGCTGCTTCTCCAGCTTCTCCTTGGCATCCCGCTTCCACGGGTCAGGAGACAGACTGTCCCCCGAGGAAAGCTCCTCTTTGCTGACTGTGATGTACTGCAAGTCCCTGCGCTCGATCGTGCGGGGCTGCTGCTGAGGCTGTAGCTCCCGAATGACTGTTTCCTGGGGCCGCTGGAGTGTGGAAGGCTTTTCGGGCTTCATCTGCTGTGTGGTCAGGGGAGAAAACGGAGCAGGGTTTAGGGACTGAGTGCGCATCTGGCCCAACTTCCTCTCCTGCTCTCTCCGCTTCCTCTCCCGCTCCTCCTCCAGGCGGGCCTTCTCCTTCTCATACCAACGCTGATGTTCCTCTCTCTTTTTCCGTTCGGCAGCAGCCACCTGCGCAGAGGGTAGTCCTATCTGGTTGGTGGAAGGGGGTGGTGGGAGAGGCAAATCCATGGACATTCCATCGAAATCACCGGCGTAGTGGACGGGAGGTGGCGGGGGTGGCGGAGGCAGGTCTGTTCGGATTGGCTGGGAGACGGCCACAGGGGTGGCCGGTATTGCTGCTGGTGTTTTCCAACGGCCAGGGCCACTTTTGGTCAGTGTGGAAGCAGGGGTGACCGACTTAGAGGAATGGTTCAGGTGCTCTTGGCTAGATGTACTGGAGTCCAATGAGGAGCTCTGATTTATCCACATATCACTATCAGACTTTCTGTCCATAGCTGCCTCTATTCGATGCCGCTCAAGTTGGTAAGCTTTATCTTCTCGAAGTTCTTCTTGGGAACGTGTAACACGCTGGAAAAAGAAAAAGAACTATTATATTTCAGCCATTTACTAGAAATTACCAAATATCCACAGACATTTTATCTTCAGACAGACGAAAAACTGTTAAATGAGTGTACAGAAAGAGACTGAGACTGCCCTGCAAGGCTCACTGGCTAACGTGGAATAGCAGTGAATTTATCTGTGTAAAGAGAAAAGCAGCCAAGCGTGGTGCTCAGGCCTACAATCCCAGCACTTTGGGAGGCTGAGGTGGGTGGATTGCTTGAGCCCAGGAGTTTGAGACCAGCCTGGATAACACAGTCTCTGTCTCGACTAAAATTAAAAAGGAAAAGCTGCGCTTTCTCTCTGCATTGAGGCCCTTTGGTGCCAGTGCCCATCCTCATCCTCCTCACCCTCCTGCAGTGCCCTGCACCATCTCCAGCGCAGGGACCAGACATGCGACTTGGACTTCAAAGCAATGAGTGTGTTTATTCATAATATGTAAAAATCAACAACAGGTATTTCTCTACTATTACGAGTAATTATTGTATCTTAAACATTTAACCATCCGTGACTTTCTGCATTTTACAAGCTAAGGAATGGCTTTCTGGGCTCTGTGGCAGAGCTGTGCACAGTAATGCAAGGACATGTCCTACACATCTGAGATACATCCGCTCCAATATCAGAAAGGTCTAAAGTGTACTGGTATAAATTTGTTGAACACAAAGGGAGGGGTGTGTGTATGTGTGTGTGAGAGAGACAGAGAAATGAGACACACAAACACACAGAGAGAAAAAGAAGTGAGTACACTTTTTGCAAAGGGCTAGTCTAAAATCTGAGAAATGGCACATCTGAAAGGAGTCTACTCAGATAAACATGATCACTATGAGGTCTGAATCAAACATCTTTTTCCTGCCCTGTTAATGAACACAAATTAAAGATGTAAATCGGGAAAACAAATTATTTCCTTTTTCTTAAAAAGCAAACCAACAAAAAAGATGAAGTATCACTTCAAAAACCAGTAGTCTCACAGAAAAACCGAACATTTACTCCCAACATTTTGCTAGAGCTTTACTTAGTACATAGAGAGTCTCATTACTGGGTACGAAATCTATGGACTACATAAAAACAGAGACTGTGCACCTACCGCCACTCCCTGCTGCTGGAAGGGCTGACCTGAGTCACTTCTCTGCTCCCTTAAGACTTTGCACTGGCCCTGGCTGCTGGCTTGCACTCTCCACCTCCCCGCTTAAACCCCATCATAACTTTTCATTCCACACTCTGGCCTGCCGCACAGTTCCTCAATTCTCTCCTCTAGGTATTATTTACCCATGTTGTGAGGTAGAAACAAGTAGCAGCTGTATACTATAAATGTGAAGACGTAATGCCAGTCCCACAGAACAGGAAATACTGTGCATAAAAATGGGATTCAATGTATGCACTACAAATTGGATTGTCTTGACATATGGGAAGCAGATTCTACTGAGTCCTAACAAAAAATACTAGAAGAACTAGGACACAAAATTACTCAATTTTTAAAGAGAAATTTGGAGAAAGACACCTCCTTCCAGAGAACTCCAGCTTTTGGTGACAGAGTGTGTCCAAAACTCCCAAGACTGGGCCGTTGCAGGTGATCAGGCCCACCTAGGAGAACAGCAGGATGGACCAGCACACCAGACAAAAGGCCAAGATGAAATCTCCTGACGGCCAATATCTGTGGCCTGAGAAGCATTTTCTTTCCTCAGAAAACAGGCTCCTCCTCATGTGTATCACAGCGTCTATCTCAGTGCAATCCTCTCTCCTCTGCCTACTGTTCTCATTCTTCAAGGCTCAGCTCAAATCCCATCTCAACTCTGAATTAGTCTTTTCCAACCACTCTAAGAAGGCTGATCTTCAGAATTCCCAGAGCATTTTCGATCCAGAGCATGTATTTGTTACAAAGATCTAGACTGCACCTCTTTTTAAGTGTATCTTTAATTTTTTCTCCCAATCTTTCACCATACAGTTATCTTTCTAAAAAGAAAACCACATTTGATAACGTTCTGAGCTTAACTACTCAGATTGGCATCTCCCATCTACTAACGTGGACAAAAATCCAAACTCCTTAGCTGTCATGTCAAGCCCTTCTGTCTGGCCCCACCTATCTTCACTGCCTTAGATCTCGCCACCTCCTTCACCTCCACTCAGGGTTCCTGCTGCACTACTACACATCTCTGTGCCTTTCCCTCCTCCTGGAAGGCCCTTCTGTGCATATGGCTGTGCCCAGGTTCTCGTTTGAGACTGAGAAGCTCCATCCCCTGCTGGGGCCTCTTCTCCCACAGTACTGACCATGCTGGGTCTGATGTGTCTGTCTCATTTCCCTGCCACACCATGAGCTCCCACAGGCAGGGCAGGGACTGATAGAGTGCAAAATATACCACGTGAGTTCTAATTTCTCACTTCTAGAATCAGTGAACTTTGTCTTAAAAATTATAAGGCCTTATATTCCTAACATTTTGTTAATCAAACATCAGAGAATAATCCTTGTTCTTATTAAGTATTCTATCCTATCTCCTTTTTTCCTCAAACTTAACTACAAAACCATTAAGGAAAAAACAAAAGGCCAACAATGCTGTTCTATAGAAAATACTAATCGTGTCTCAGAACTCAGTGTTTACTCCTTGAGAGGTGAGAAGTGTGTGGAATCTTTGATTTCTAACCTGAATTGCAATACTGGAGTGATTACTATCTGTGTGCATATGTGGCTTTTCCTCATAATTTGGCCACTGGTTCTGAGGAGGAGCCATCCGATCCTGGGATTTGGAAGCTGGGAAGGTAAAATACTCTCTGGTGTACGTCTGAGTGGGGATGGGGTAGGCTTCAGGTCTAGGCGGAGGCGTCTGCTCCTGTAAAATGTGAAGAACAAAGAAAAGTGAGCTTTTTACAACCATACAGACTAATTTGATTTTCATTGATCTGTTTTAAAATTTTAAAAATAGTATATATGTTAAATACTGCATTAAAAAATGTTTTATCCATACTGAGAATAAATAACATTTCATTTTGCCCAGACTTACTAATTTAAAACTGATTTACCTGACTAGTATATTAAAAATCAAAAGATAAAACACTGCAAATTTAGAAATTATAATCAATGCTAATTCAGAGTAAAAATTGTACTGGATAACTGAGATGTCCCAAGGGAACCCTAAGTGTGGAAGTGCAGTAGAAGCCTTTTGCTTATCAATCAGACCTCAGTGCAGAGGTTTCCAGTAGAGACAGATGTTATCTTCGCTGCTGTTCCAGAGGCATATGCACTTTTCCCTCCAGGACTAGGAGGCTGATCTGTTCAAGTCAGAGGGGAAAAAAAAGTTTAATATTAAATAAACAACCTATATATAACATAAAATTTCCTTAAAGACCTCATTCATCTTCATTCTGCCAGTGAGTTATCTAGCATAGAGACGAAAAAAAAAAAACCAAGGCAGATGAGAAATCAGGTCTTGTCATATCCATGTCCATCTTTCAGATCATCACAGCCCAGAGCTACAAAAAAAACTCTGTAGCTCTGTGTATCAGGCCAGGGACTGGTAAACATTTTTGGTAACAGGCCAGAAAGTAAATACTTTAGGCTTCGTGAGCCTTTGTCTCCTGCTGAGTATCTTTCTATTATTTCTTCTTCTCTTTGTTAACAACCCTTTAAAAATGTAAAAAATATTTTAGTTTCTCTTGGTAATTTCCAACCCCAAATAAAGATGTTATTAATATGTTTGTTTATGGGATCAACTGAATCTAAAGTTTTTCAATCATAGTTTTTGTTAGAGAAATGTTACTTAATGATATCCCCTATGAAAACCATATCATAGTTAGCCAATGTTTGCAAAGAATAATTTTAATAATTAACAAACCACAAAGTGCCTCCTCTCACTTCAGACTGTGACCATGAGTGTACTTAGGAAGCAAAAAAGTGTCATTCTTACTTGCTACGTTGGGGCTGGAACGGTGATCAGCTCTATTTTTCGTCAGTCTGTCATCACCGGGCAATTTCTTTGGTTCACTATATTCTGCCCAAGGCAGCTGAGGACTCTCAGGAGACCCATTTTGAGCGGAATTATTATAGAGTTCAAAGCCTTCACTCTTTGGTCGGGGTCTGCCTGAGCCACGACGATCTGAAACTGGAATCAAAGCATATTCAGTATCTCTTAAGATTTTATTTTCAACACCCTGATTATCATTAAAATTCCGTAAGAATTGTTCTTAGCATAAGAAATAAGGTGATTTTCCCTATAAAGGTCAATTCTTCCTACAGAATCATAAAACAGCTTTTAAGTAAATATACTAAGAATAAAGAAAATATTTTTACTTAATTGGTAATGATGGGAAGATGAACACTTTCAAAGTTTATTTTCTCGTTAACTGAAACTTCAGTTTTAAGCAACAAATCTAACCATTTTTAAAGTATCTTTTTTTAAAAAAAACTAAATAAAGATAAATATGCTTTCCTGACTTCACAGAAAAAGATCTGAACTTTTAATCGCCCAGTGTCACCGTTCTGAGCAGCCATCATGTGACACGAGCCTTCTGCTCCTGACGGCCGCCGCTTCTGTCAGTTCTCCTTTGTGCTTGCTCACCCTGGTTTATCATCTCCTGTTCACAGCTTCCCTCTGTGTGGCTTCTAACTCACATTCTAGTTTGCTTCTTTTAAATGACCACAAACTAAGAAATTAGACAACCAAGATGTTAGGCTCTATGTTACACAAAAAGTAAAAAACATGCTGAGCAAGGCAGACAATACCACACTAGGTTTTGCTGAGATGCCCCTTGGGTGGTGTGTGTTTGCTTCAATAAGCAGCAGGTCAGGTTCTCTGACGCCTTGGCTGTGGCTGTGATTTGTTACTATTAGGTACCAACTTGAGGTTCTGGGTTGTGAGGTTTCTAGAATCCTGCCTTACGGAGGAGAAAGCCATAAAGGCCATATTTAGAAGTCTATGTATACATTTAACAAGGTGTGCTATGAATCAAAATGGTTTTCTCCTATTGTGTCTGAACTAATTAAAAGCCCTAAATTTGTATTGATTTTATCCTGAGATTCTTTTTGATGTAGCTATAAAACCACAGTTCCAAAAAATAAATTATTTAAATAAAAGATTTTTAAGTGAATTACAGTCATGCACCAAATAAGCCCATTTTGGTCAATGATGAACCACATCCATGACAGTGGTCTCCTAAGATTATAACGGAGCTGAAAAATCCCTGTCTTCTAATGATCTTAGCCAGTGTAAAGTTGTAGTACAATGATTCCTCGTGTTTATGGTCATGCCAGACTGTACTGCTAGCTGTATACGAGTATAGCTCATACAATTATACATGGTATATAATACTTGATAATGTAATATGCAACTGGGTTGCTGGTTTATATATTTTACTATACTATACTTTTTATTGTTATTTTAGAGTGTGCTCCCTTTACTTATAAAAAGAGTTAATGGTCAAGTAGCCCCAGGCAGGTCCATCAGGAAGCCTTCCAGAAAACGGCATCGTCACCACTGGAGGTGATGGCTCCATGGCATGTCACTGCCCCTGAAGACCTTCCTGTGGAACCAGATGTGGAGGTAGAAGACAGTGACACTGATGATCCTGACCCTGTGCAGGCTGAAGCTAATGTGTGTGCTTATGTACGAGATTTTAACCAAAAAGATGAAAAGATAAATTTTAAAAAAAATTTTAAAATCCTTACAGAGTAAGTATAGAAAGAAAATACTTTGTACAGCTGTACAACATGCTTATGTTTTAAGCTAGGTGTTATCACAAAAGAGTCAAAAGTTTTTTTTAAATTTAAAATTTTATATAGTAAAAAAGTTAAGAGCAAGAGAAGGTTAATGTATTATTAAAGAAATAACTATGTATTTTTGTAAATTTAGTGTAGCTTAAGTGTACAGTGTTTATAAAGTCTACAGTAGTTATGGCCATGTCCTGGGCCTTCACATTCACTCACCACTCACTCGCAGACGCACCCAGAGCAACTTCCATCCTACAAGCCCCACTCAGGAGAAGTGGCCTTTGACGGGTCTAGCATCGTTACTCTTTTACACCCTTTTTTTTTTTTTTTTTTTAGGCAGAGTCTCGCTCTGTCGCCCAGGCTGGAGTGCAGTGGCGCGATCTCGGCTCACTGCAAGCTCCGCCTCCCGGGTTCCCGCCATTCTCCTGCCTCAGCCTCCCAAGTAGCTGGGACTACAGGCGCCGCCACCACGCCCGGCTAATGTTTTTTTTTTTTTTTTGGATTTTTAGTAGAGACGGGGTTTCATTGTGTTAGCCAGGATGGTCTCGATCTCCTGACCTCGTGATCCGCCCGTCTCGGCCTCCCAAAGTGCTGGGATTACAGGCTTGAGCCACCGCGCCCGGCCTACACCCTTTTTTTAACTGTAGTTTTTCTATGTTGAGCTATGTTCTCACTGAATTACAATGGCCTGCAGTATTCAGTTGGGTGACATGCTGTGCAGGTCTACAGCCTAGGAGCAACAGGCTACACCATCTAGGTCTGTGTAGTACACTGTGATGTGTGCACAATGATGAGATAAACTAAGGATGAATTTTTCAGAATGGATCCCTCTTGCCAGGTGATGCATGACTGTATACAGAATGAGATCATCATGCCGTATCTCAGCAAATGCAGGACTAAGGTAACTACACATATACAAATAAATGCCTATTTCTTCAGTGAAGAACTGAAACACTTTAAATCCTGAGTCTGCCTATCAAAACTGAAAATCCGTTCATTCATTCTCTAGTTTTTTTCCCAGTTCATCCTTAACATGTCACATTCATTCTCTACTGAGCACCTACCATGTGCTGGGCCTACAGAAGCTCACCAGCAGTCAACCAGCCCTGTAGGGGTGAAGCCCTGTGGGGAACCCTGGTGACAGGGAGGGGACCTGGTGACTCACAGTGTGGGTTCCAAGGTCACAAGGCTCACATGGGAATCCCAGGCACTGTGCTGAAGCACTCGCATTCTCAATTTCTTTATTTTTAAAACCAGGGCAATAGTAACACCACTACCTCCTCCATGGGGTTTTGTGACTATTCAAAGAGGCCATGACTGTAGAACACTGTTTGACAGTTGGCCACTGTCTCCCTGCTGGTCCTTACTTCTCTGCATCATGGGGGATGGCTGATTGAGAAGGGTGGCCAGACCGTGGTAGATAGCACCCTGCTTTGCTACTTCCAGTGTCACCACAGAGCTTGTTCTTGTCATGAGTTCTGCTGCCCTAGGAGAAGAAGATTACACATGTAAGAAAAACGAAAACGCAGTGCCTGCTCTGTCATGAATAGCTGTGATCACAGCAACTGAAAATCATGTTCCACAGCCTCATCTATTATTTTGAGTAATGGTTCTGACTTTTTCTTTATTTTTAATTTTAATTTTTTTTAATTTTTTATGGTTCTGACTTTCAGACAGCTTACTCACTACCCATTTTCTCCTTTTAAAACTGACTATGAAAATAGGCAAACACATCTCCTGTTATATTAAGAATAGTAAGATAATATTCAGAAATTTGAAGAAGTGTTAAGAGTATGTTTCTTTCAAGTTTCAAAGAAACTGTACTAGATTAAAATATATATCTATAATTTGATAAGTGAAATGTCATGTACACTAAAAAAGGTAAAGAGTAGTATGAGCATGTTTTAGCATAGTTTTCATCTTCCAATTTCAATATTTAATGCAAAAATCACCTAAAAATGCTAATACTAAGCTTCAAGCAAATAAACCAATGATACCTTTCCTGAGAGAGTCCAACCAGACTTCGTCCATCCACGCTGAGGAGTTGATCACCTGCAGCTAGACGTCCATCCTAGGCAAATCCACAGGTGTGTGCATGGATTAGGGGTGGAGAGCAGAGAGATGGAGGAAGAAAAGGTAATAATGAGTAGATACCCTGTTTCTTCTTCCAACAAACACTGTGTAGTGTTACATAACTAAAAGTATCAGCAGAATCTCTCACATCATTTGCTGAACATATGACACACTGAAAATTTACTTCTTTCAAAATGATACTGACCACATCTGCAGCACCTCCTTTCACAACCGACTTCACATAGATTCCTAGTTTATCTTGACCAGCACCCTATTGCAAAAACAAGGCAAAAACACTGCACTGAAAATATACTGTAAGAAATGCACTATGCAGGAAAGTAAAACAAAAATAAAACCACCCAACATGTACATAGGTAACTGCAACAAAGTCCTGGTTCTCATTTTTACATGAAAATCAGAATTATGAAAAATCAGTTATTCATGCATCAGCTAATGATGAGACTAAAATAGAGACTTGGAATCCTGAAGTTAATTTAAGAATAGTTCTGAACAGCCACAAGTGTAAGTGAACTAAGAACTACTTGCATGATATATACTATTAATCATTTTAATAAAAAAAGCAACTTGGTACAGTATTTTTACATTTCACCATTTACCTATATCCTCCCTTATACCCTTGTTCTTTTCATACATACAGTTTAGGATTTTAAACGATAAAAAAACTTCTGTGGCTAACAGTAAGAGGAACTTAGTAAGAGAAAATCATACAGAAAAAATCAGTATTATAACTCATGTACTGTAACCGTAAATAAACATCAAAGCAACAAGACCCAATTCACATAGAATTCATAGAATTGATATATTATGAAAGAATAAAATTCTGTTAGATAGACAAGTATTATATACAATTACTTTCAGAATCACCAATATTCTACTTGGATATCATGACTATACTAAACTTAACTCCATAACAATAAAAATTTTGGGTAATTTATTGCAACTATCAAAGAAAGCAGTCCTATGCATGAAATCTTACTTAGATATTATAGACAATATTATACAACTGAGAATAATTCCTTAGGTCACAACGATTGAAGGCAAATACAAATCCATTTCAATCACTGCGAGGCACTGTATGGTAAGAGTAAAAATACACAAATGATTTAATTAAAACAGATTCTCTGTAACATCCTGGAACTATGTAATTTTCACTTGGAAACCACTTACATTTGTCTCCTTTAGTTAACAAGTTAAGTTTACAGAAGACAGCCTGACTGGCCAGTACTGTTGATCCTGACTCCCTTTAGGGAAAAACAAAACAAAACAAAACAAAACAAAACAAAACAAAACAAAACGCCTGTAGCAGGTCAAATTTTGTAAGCATAAAACCATCCAGGCCGGGCGCGGTGGCTCAAGCCTGTAATCCCAGCACTTTGGGAGGCCGAGACGGGCATCCTGGCGAACACGGTGAAACCCCGTCTCTAATAAAAAATACAAAAAACTAGCCAGGCGAGGTGGCGGGCGCCTGTAGTCCCAGCTACTCGGGAGGCTGAGGCAGGAGAATGGCGCAAACCCGGGAGGCGGAGCTTGCAGTGAGCCGAGATCTGGCCACTGCACTCCAGCCTGGGTGGCAGAGCGAGACTCCGTCTCAAAAAAAAAAAAAAAAAAACCATCCATACATATCTCATTTTAAAAACAGTATAATATTTCTTAATTTAACAAAGCAATTCCATTTTGGAAAGCAGTACACTTCAAATTTCATGTGGTTACATTATCTGGGAACTAAGTTTATAAAAGTTCTACAGAAAGCCAAATCAAATATTCACCTTTGCAGCTTTTGATCTGAATTTTCCATCTGTTCACCTCGATATCCCTCTGTGTCTATTCACACATCTCTCCTGTGGATGGTTTCCACTCTCACCTCAATGCAAGTCTCCAGCCCAGTCCCAGATGCCTCACGGCCCACTTGCTACCTCCCTCTAGAAATCATTCAGCACAGTCCACAAACCACAACAGCCAAATATAACCTGTGGTCCTTGAACGGATCCTTTTGCCATAAAAAGCATGATTGGGATAGTTGGCAAAGACTGAGCTTTTTGTAAATTTACAATTTCAAAAATAAAAGATAAAATATACAGCAGGCACTCAATAAAGGGCAACTTTCTGAATTTTAGCATATCACTTAGCAAAAGAATAATAAATATGCTTTTTGCCTCACTATATCTGTGACAATGCTGGGTTTCCTTGAATCTAGGGACCTAAGACACACTACGGAAAAATACTTCTAAGACATGGCACCCCCCGACCACCCCTATTTGTGAAATCAGGTAATCCCTCATAATCTAATTAACCGAACTTTTTTACACATTTAATAATTTTATGTGATTCATGAATAACCTTAATTCTATAGCTCGGCTGTTTAAATGACAATTTCATTCACTGAACAAATATCCACCGAGCGCCTGTATGGTCCTAAGCTCCATGCACATACCAATGAACAAAACAGACAAACACCCTTGCCATCTGGGAGCTTCTTCTATTCCTCAGCAGAGTTTATCTGTGGTCATTCACTAACAATTCTAGTTGGAGCGCTGGAAGTCCTTCTTTTTCTTTTCCTGAAAATGATGTATGCCTATTCCCTTCCAGCTGGTACCCTGGGTCAGGTTTTTAAAAAGTTCTACAAGCACTACTTATTTTTTCCTCTGCTTTCTACCTGACTACAGAAAAGCAATGATTACTGAACGTCGGAATGCCAACTGTCAGTGAGAATGGGCACCTCACATTTTCACATGGCATTATCTTCTGGTTAATGTAATACTGACCTTGTAAAGAGTAAAAATCATCCTTTTACTAAGATAACCAATTATTATCATCTCTGACAAGAAAAATGTTTAGCAATAATACTAGTAATACAGCATTTTTAGTAACACTATTATAAACAAGGAAATATCAAATATATATTTTGAAACAATATATCAAGCCTCCTTCCTCCATTTCTGATATGCTTTACATGATCACAATACAGACCAAAAAATGGCAATTACTTAGACAAACTGTAATAACAAAACTGTTCTTAAAATCATAAAATAGAATAATATCAGAAAATGAGAACAGGACTATTTCATTTCTTCCTACAACCCAAGACCCTGCATATACAGTTGGAGCTGCCTGCCAGTCAGCTCTTCTGCCACTCCTAATTTTCATTTTTGGCAGATGTCTTTGTTCCAATTTCACAATAAATTTCAGTTTCGTGGCACCTGTTACTCCATGTTTCAACCCCTTCATTCAGAGCAGTAATCACATACCTGAGGGCAACCATTAGGCTCTTTTCCATCCTAGCCACCCTCCACAAACAGACAGCCAACGTGCAAGCTGAACATGTGGACTCCATATGAACGGCACATGGCATTTCAAGAACCCAAAATCCTCTACCATTTTAAGGTAGGTAATTTAGGATACTATATGAAATGTGAAATTTAATGCCTAAATTTAAATCCCGAAGCAAAACTGATCATGTACTACTGATATTTGACTGCACTACCTATATTTAAATAGGCTGAAGTTTACATCATAAATTTCAGACCAATTCTGGCAAAATGAGGAAGCTCTCCTCATGACTGATCTTCTGGTCTCCCTACGTCCAATCATGTTTCCTGAAGCACAGCTCAGCTCACACTATCCTGACCAGACTCTTGTAACTGCCAGCTACTGTAAAAATTCACAGTAGCTTCCTGCATGAGGTATTCACGGGTCCATGAACCTCTCTTGCCATTCTCCACCCAAATCACCCCTCACCTCCTCCCATTCTATCTGACTCATGTTCATGACTTGGTTGATGTTCTCTCTACACCAACTGTCTTTCTGATGCAAGGTATATGCCCAAATGCTCTCCATCATTCACCTCCGAGACTCACCTGCCAGCCCACTCACCTTCCCAGTGTCAGGGAAGATATCATCTCTTCTTCACTTATGTTCTCATCACATTGGACTTTTTTTGTTCTCTTTGAGCAGTGAGTCATTGTGTCCTGCATTACAGCTACCTCTGCAAATGGCTCCTTCCTCCAACTCCATTAGAAGCTTCTTGAATATAAGGAGCTCTATCCCTTCCAGAAGAGCTTCTCAATTAGATTGACTTACAGTTTACTAACATTGATCAATAAGAAATTTGGTCAATTTCCTATTTTAAAAACCTAAGATGAGGAGGTCTGTAATTTTACAGAATGAACACTAAGTTAAGAAGCAACTGATATGCCCATTATATATGGGTTAGCAATAAAACTTTGTAAAATTACTAGTTTAGAAAGATAGATACAAAAGTACTTCAGGCTGTGGCACCCAATGTGCCCTTTTAGGAAGGGAACTCAAATTCATGACTGTCAGGAAAGACCCAAGTAAGATACATTCTATTTTCTTATATATTCAGAATGTATCTGAATTCTAAGTAATAACCACTTCTTTTAATTCCAAGTAAACTGAATTTATAAATATATCTGTTTGTCACAAAAAGAGGTTTTCATTTAAGGAAATAAGCATTCATGATAGAGCCAGGCATGGTGGCAGTCATCCCAACACTTTGGGAGGCTGTGGTGGGAGGACTGCTTGAAGCCAGGAGTTCACGACCAGCCTGGGCAACATGGTGAGATCCTGTCTCTACAAAAAATTTTTAAAAAGCATTCATGATTTTTAGAGACCTCAATTCAAAACACTCATGAAAATCTAAAAGGTCTATTCAAGGTTGGTCATAAAAATGGAATTTGATTAAAAGTCAAGACAATGCATCATGAAATATATTTTGAAAACACTCTTAGACACAGGAAGACAAAACGACGTGCAAGTAAAGCATATGGATCTGGATAATGTAAGAGGTATCCACATTTCGGTTGGCATTTGGGCCTCCACTTCACGGACTGCTCTGCGTCACAAACGTTCCCGCGGACACATTCCCCGTCCACTGACTCTGCACCTTCTGCACACACTCCTTTCCCGCAGACCCACTGGCCCTGTCCACATGCCCTTCCCTCCTATCACCTCTGGTTATTTGGATCCTACTTCTACTTCAGGTGCAGCTCACAGTCATAAACTGGTCATAAAAATTCTAACTACAACTGCTGTATGGAGAAATTACAGTTCTACTGGTAATTATCTTAGCAAAACAAAATTAGAGATGACTACCCAGAGATGAAAGAACTCTAGGAAATGTCTGACTATTTGTATCACATCAATATGGGCAATTACCTTCAACCCGAACCACCACAATCTCTGTCCAACACAAGGTGTCCACTTGTCCAAGGTTTCTCAATCTGGCCATGG